TCCAGAACCCTCTGTTGTGATCTTGCTCAGAGTAGTCAGCGGTGGTAGCCAGGCACCATCTAGCTGTACTGGACTCAGTCTGGTGGAGGCCTTGGCAGCTGTGGACAATTAGTCCTTCGGACTAATCTTTTCCTTGTATCCTGTTCTCTTCATTCTCCCTTGCTCCCGAAGGGATAAGACCAGTGGTAATACACCTTATTTTAAAAAGAAGCAAAAGAGGAGCTTAGTCCTCAGGCCTGGCCAAGATTCAAGATGTTGAAAAAAAGGTAAAGGATATTTTTGTGGTAGACAATGGAAGAATGATTAGGGTCATATTTAATAAAAATTTTGGTCATTATTCTTTGAAAACTATGACTTAATGATACTGAGTTACTAAGTGAAATACTGTTAAAATAGCTTTTAGAATATAAGAATTAAGTTGTTATATATAAAAATATTTAAAACTTTGGCCTATATAAAGCACATTCTTGCTAACTATAAGTGAATGAAAAGGTCAGTATATATAAATCCAGTCAAATTTTCAAAGACAGGTAAAAGTAAGCATTTGAATATGACTGAACTCCTAAAGTCTGATATTAGGAACAAAGAGAGTTCCTAAAGTTGGCCACAGCCATGTTCTATTTAACAATGCAATGAGTTCATTATATCAAAATTAACACTAACTTATAGAAAATGAATAAAAACGCAGAATAATAGAAGTCTCAAAGCAGCATGAAGGAACATGTGTCAAAGAATAATAAAATGATAAGATCCAGGAAAGAATGTCTTATGGTGAGATATAAAACTTCATATTTTATAAGTCAGCATTTGCTTTAAACATAGTATGCAGTGTTTAATGTATATATTACATAACTGAAAACTGGCAATTTAAGTACTTCATCTCAACAGTTCCAGACACATTTTTTACAACTCAGAAAGTAACAGAAAACCCCGAGAGTATGGCCCCTAGACACCCTTTTAGCTCAGTGATGAAGTCATCTCCAAGGTTCACCATTCAGCCTGGGAGTGGACAGCCCCATAAAACCAAATGGGACGAATGAGGTACAGCAGTCCAGCGACAAGGGCCAGAAGGCAGAAGGGGACAAGGAAGCTGG